GTGACCTTCTGTCCTGTCCCCACTGTCCCCATGGCACAGAGTGGCCAACTCAAACAAATCCAGGACAAAGGAAAGGAAAATACTGCCCAGCAAAAGCAACACTGCACCTGTGTTTGCGAGTAGGAGCTACTGGGGACATCCTCAGGACAACTTACATAAGGAAAAGCAGGGTAAATCCATCAGGAAGCCAGAAATGAGTCTCAAAGAGCTCAGGGGAGTGCCAGAGAGCGACATCCTAGTTTGTACAAGTGGAGTATTTAGCTAAAAAACAACTGCATTTTGGGGTGTTTGGGGGTTTTTTCCTTTTTTTTTCTTTACTTATGTCCATTATAGCTGTTGAATTTGAGCTGATGAGGTTAATGCTGCACATTGTTCCAATTAAAGGCAAGAATGTTTTTTTCTTTCCCAATTGGAGACACACTGCCCCTCATTTTTTGGCAAGTGTACGTCTCAGAATTCCAAAGATCATCCCATTTTGTTAAATTTTTTTTTTTTAAGGCTAAACTAAGAAATGTTAAAAGCTTCTGTAAACATTTCCTCTTCCTCCCCATAGTTGCACAATTTAAAGTCCAACCACACTTTTGAAAATGAGGTAATTTTTGTGTATTCATATATTGAAAAGTCCTTGTCAGGACGAGCCGAGAGGCTGTGCCAATCCGAACGCTGATCCAATTGGAGTGGGAGAGCTTCCACAGCAGGGTACACACCATTCCAGCAGCTGGCTCAGTTATTTATCTTCTCAATTTCATCCAAGTCGTCAGTATCCAATTTGTTTATCTTTTTGTCTGGGAAAGATGAGAAGTCAGTTAGATTTCGTAACACAGAAGGGAATGTTGCTGCCTTTAGCTGGATTTGAGGAGTTCAGGCTTATCAGGAAATGTTCAAACAGGTTTTAAAACTACAAATTAAACCTTTTCATTTACTGGGATTCCAATATTACCCATCTCTGGAATATCCACCTGAAGGACTATCCAGGCAACCAGCAAACACCTTGAGTTATTCCTACCCCTGCCAAAGGTCACAATCCCAAGTGCCACCACACAACCCACATCTGTTAGACCTGCTCAGCATCCAACTAGCCAAAATTCTGCAGGAATTCAACACCAGAAGGCCTGAGGGTACATACTGAAATGTTCCTGGATTCTGTTGAGGATGTTCATGCTGTGCTTGCTGTCCACCATGTTGATGGCCAGGCCTCTCTTGCCGAAGCGCCCGGTGCGGCCGATGCGGTGCAGGTAGGTCTCGCTGTCTGGGTTTCCATCCTTATCCACAGGAAGGTCAAAGTTGATCACAACTGAGACCTGCTCTACATCAATCCCTGATGAAAAGAAAGCAGCAGGTTACATGACTCCATTTAAATCAGCCTCTGCAACTGAGCTTTTCCACAGTATCCTCACGGGGTATTTGAAACGAAACCTATCTAGCTGTAACAGCACAGAATCCCACTGGAACAGCCAAGGGAAAAGCAGTTGGAGATTCTTTAACCAGCAGTGAAATATTTTGGAAACTATCTCCCCTGAACATCTCTAAAGACCACTTGTTTTTTTTCCAAAGGACTGTGTTGTCTTAACTGTTCTAGAATGTCCAATTGCAACATAAATTCCTACTGGAACAGTGAACTGGAAGTCACTATTTATCAGCTTTCTGTGCTTCAGCACATGTTTATTCCAAGCTGAGGGTCAGCAGCACCAGCCAAGCTTGGGGCCAGAAGCAGAAAGTTCTCACAGGATGGACTTTTCCATCTCAAGCTGTAGGAAGCCAACAGGAATCCTGTGTTTGCTCACAGACATCTGTGCTGCAAGGACACAAATCTGTCCTGAATGGAATACTGAAGGATGCAAACTGGCCAGGGGTATGTTATCTTAGGAAATGTTGCTTCCAACCTCACTCCATCATGTCCTACCTCTGGCACAGACGTTTGTGGTCACCAGCACCTTCTCCTTGCCCTCTCGGAATCGCTCGATCACGGCAGCTCTCTGCTCCACCATCATCTCCCCACTCAGCAATGCCACGTGATGGCCTTCCCTGGAGAGCTCTGCTGCCAGCCACCCTGCTGTCTTCCGAGTCTGAAACACAGCCAGGCCACACTTAGGAGGGAGTTTCAACACTGGAAAGCAGGAATAAACCTCTCCGGGGTCCCCTGGAAGCTCAGTGGCTGTTCAGGTTTTGTGTCCCGAAAGGAAACAGCTCCTAAGGGCTGTGCCCACCCCTTTCCCCCTTACAAAGCCAGGAAAATGTGCCTCTGCCAGCACTGAGTTCTTGATTAAGAAAAGGGCATGTTTTCTTTGTGCTCTGCTCCTTGGATTTCACTCTGCTGGAGACTGGCACTACCTGTGTACACTGAAAATTGTCATAAAAACACAACTACTCAGCTTGGAAAATGGCAAGGTTAGAGCTGAGTGTAGCTGTCAAGCCCAACAGAGGTTCTCTGCAGCCTTGAATGAAACCATTCCCAATTACACAGGATTTGAACACCTAAAAATAACTTTTCCCCTAAAAATTATTATGATTGCTTCCAGAAAAAGAAACAAAGTCTCACTATGATCCACATGGAGATCCCAGAAGTATATTTACCTGATTTACCCAATCACCTGAGGGAAATGGAGCTCTGTCTCAGCCACAGAACCACAATTTCAATCCCCATCCCTCATTCTGCCTTATTTTCATCCAACCTCAATTTTTTTTTTCCTCCCTCAGGGATAAAAATGACCAGTGTGGTTGGTCTCCTGGATGGACAATCCCAGAGAAACAAACCAGTGCTAACCTGGCTCTCAAGATTTCAACTCTAAGAGGGAGACAGAGAAGCCAAAAAGGGCAATTTATATTCCTAATTTCTTTCTGAAAACTGTGCCTGTCCAGGTTTTTGGCTCTAACATTCCCTGGAAGAACTCACGTGGCAGAAGATCATGGCCTGGGCAATGGTGATGGCGCCGTAGATATTGCAGAGAGCTCTGAACTTCTCATCTCTGTTATTGCACAGCACATAATACTGCTTGATAGTGTCCAGGGTCTCTTCCTCACGCTTCAGTTTGATAATGTTTGGGTCAGGAACAACTTTCTGAGCAAACTTCCACACAGAATCCTCAAAAGTGGCTGAAAACAGAAGCATCTGGCAGTCCCTGGGGAGCATTCTGCAAGAGAAAGGAAAATGGGCAGAGTTCCCACACAACACTGTCACCTCCTGATATCCTGATGGGATTGATGCTGCAAGCAAAGCACAGTGATATCCTCAGAACTAGTTATTTCAGTGACTGGAAAGAACAGTGCTAATCCTGCCCACCCCTGATCATGCCCTCAGGGACCAGAGGTATCCAAGGCTTGCTTTCTGGAGAAGGGAGAAACCCTGCTGCAGGGACAGGAGTTTTACTCTGGAAGGAAATGAAACTGCTTGTCATGCCCTGACATGAAACTGCTTGTCATGCCTGTACTTGGCACTGGTGAGGCCACACCTTGAGTACTGTGTGCAGCTCTGAGCCCCTCAGGTCAGGAGGGACATTGAGGGGCTGGAGCAGGTCCAGAGAAGAGCAATGAGGCGGGGGAAGGGACTGGAGCACAAGTGCCATGAGGAGAGGCTGAGGGAGCTGGGAGTGTTCAGCCTCGAGAAGAGGAGGCTCAGGGGAGGCCTTCTCACCCTCTGCAACTCCCTGACAGGAGGCTGGAGTCAGGGGGGGGTTGGTCTCTTCTCCCAGGCAACCAGCAGCAGGACAAGAAGGCACAGACTCAAGCTCTGCCAGGGGAGGGTTAGGTTGGCTATTAGGAAGAGATTTTTTATGGAGACAGTTCTCAGGCATTGGAATGTGCTGCCCAGGGAGGTGGTGGATTCACCATCCCTGGAGGTTTTCAAGCTGAGACTGGATGTGGCACTTAGTGCCATGGTCTAGTGACCACAGTAGGGTTGGACTTGATGATCTTGGAGGTCTTTTCCAACCTGCTTGATTCTATGATTTTATGACATTCTGTCTCTATTACCAGGTGGTTAATAGAGGCAGAATGTCATAGGTTTAAGCAACAGGTTTAATTTTGTTGCTTTATTGGTGAAGACACTGCTCAAGTCTCCATCCCTGCTGTCCCTGTGGTACATGTCCTCACCTCTGGATACGGATGCTCTGGTCCTGGTGGCCTTGGGTGGCAATCATCACATCAGCCTCATCCAAGACAAACACTTTGATCTTCTTGGGATCTATGAATTTCAGCTTGGAGCACCAGTCCAGCACAGTGCCCGGTGTGCCAATTACAATCTGCTCCGAGATCTTCTGCCCCCTCTCCACTGCAGAGACAAGGGAAGGTTGTTGGGAGATGACTGTGCAGGCACCAAATGTTCTGCCCCTCTCTGCCCCAGCCTGTTTCACAGCTCTGGTGCACCTGAGGAACATCATTTTCCCACTCCTGGTTGTGGTGTTTCCCTTTACTCACATTTATTGCCTCGGACAGCATACGCAAGTTTCAGCTCTGGGTAGAAGTTTCCCATCTGTTCAATCACTTTTCCTGTCTGGAGTGCCAGCTCATATGTTGGGGAAAGGCACAAACACTGGAGGGACAAAAGGATTTGAGATGATCAACATCCAGGGCAACACTGCACTTGCTTCTTAAAATCCTTGGTGAAGTTTTCCTCAAATGGCTGAACAGATTCTCAACAATCTCATCAGCAATTTGGGTTCAAAAAGACCCTTTCCACGTATTGTCTGCTCTGCTGCAGATATTTTCTTTTCCATCCCCAATTCTTACCCAACCCTTTTGGACTGCACTATTTATCTGATTTAATTCCTCCCAGAACACTATCAGTGATTTAACTCCTCACAGACCAATGACATCCTGAGTGACACACAGAAACACAGACAGGAGCAGGTTTAGAGAGCAAAATCCACACCTTTTGCACTCAAGGCATTTGGACAGATCCCAAATCTCCAGCCCCTGCTGAGCAGTTCACAGAAGCAGCTCCACTAAGCCATGGATTTGCATTCCAAGGCCTCCCAGCAGCCCAGGCTCTGCACTAGGTGGCACTGCACCACCACGGAAGCCCCAAACGGTCCCATCCCAGAAACTTTACCTGTGGATACTTGTTCCCAGGTTCAACACGACTGAGCATGGCCAGGACAAAGGCAGCTGTCTTGCCCGTACCGGACTGCGATTGTGCGATCAGGTTCTGAGGGCTGCAGAGCACAGGGACACGAGCTCAGAGGGGAAACTGCCCTGACAACACTCCCAGGGTTGGGTGACACACAAAACACAGCCAGGGACATTTCCAGACCTTTTACATTTCCCCCTGCTCTGGGCCTGTGGCTAAATTGACCAGCTAAGCACCACAGGGCAGAAATTAGTGTCTGCCCAAGTCTTTCTTTCAGCACCTCTTGATTTTGAGATTTAGAAGGAGAACTGTGATTATCTGTTGGTATTTTTCCATTTCACACGTTTCTCAGCACCTCACACATTCCAGCTCAGGGTTGTGGAGAGGAAAATCAGCCACAGAGGCAATGCAGCACCTCAGCTACTTCCACCCACCAGGATTTCTGAGCTATATTCCAGAGCAGCCTTATTTCTCCCCAAACTGACTAGGAAAATGGGATTGACCTTGGCCAAGAACAGCAATGCTCTGTACCAGCCCTAGGAAAAGGACAAATCCAGGGCTGCTGTCCCACAGTTCATGAGCACAGAAACACTGTGGCATGGGAATCCTATCACCACAGCCTGACGTGCCCATCCAAAATTCAGGAGCAGCAACTAAACCTTTCAAATCCTGTAGTGGAAGGGAGTAGGAAGGGTGTGTACATACGGCTCAGCAAGCATCATGGGCAGGGCATTCTCCTGGATCTTGGAGGGTCTGTTGAAGCCCATGGCATAGACTCCTTGCAGGAGCTGTGGTTTCCTGCAAACAGAGGAGATTTGATATCATGACCTAGCAAACTCCATTTGGTTTTCATTTGTGTATAAAGAAAAAAGTGAAAAAAAGCCTTGAGAAGACCTAGAGCTGTACCTGCTACAGTCCCACTGGTGAAGCAGGTATGATCTGGAGGCTACAAGTGACAGCAGGAAATTTGGGAAGGAAGCTTTGCAAAACCCCTGGATTTGGTAAACCAGCCTGCCTGACCCAAATCCTGTGGCTAAGGCCAGCACTGCTCATTCCAAAGCAGCTTTTCAGACACTCCAGGAATCCCAGAGCAGAAAGCATTAATCCTGTCCTTCAGGCCAATACTGTTCTCTCAGCCATTTCTACTCTTGGTGCCAAAATTATCAATCCTTGATGACTCCAGTGCGGGACAAAGAGACCTCAGTACGTGAGAAACAGGATGAAGTGACATCATGAGATCACTGCAAGGACTTTTGGAAGTTGTGTGGATTCTGTAACACAACTGACACTGTCACACCAGAGCGACACTGGCTCAGTGCTCAGCAAAGGAGTGACAATTAGCTCAGCTTGCTGTGACTACACCTTGTGATCTGTGGGTACAACCCAGCACTCACACCCAAGTGTGTGGTGACTCTCTTAGTCAGCAAATCCTCATCCACTGGTGTCTCTCAAAGGAGCTTAGTCTCAGCAGACACTTGTGTGGACAAGGAGATCCCAGAACAACCTACATCCAGGTGATAGTGCTGGAAACTCTCAGCTGATGACCCCCAAGTGCTTCCTGGATGCTGTCAGTGCTGCTCAGGAGAAGTGCTCTCCTTTCAGAGCAGGTTCCAGGTTCCAGGTTCCCTGCCCACACCCCCCATTGCAGTAACTCCCTATTCAGCACAACATGCTGTTTTCAGAAATCCTCTATTACGTTCAGACTATGTCTGGAACAAAAGCTCTTTGAAAACATAACCTTGTGCTGCTCCAAGCAAGGACAGACAAAGCCCAACTCTGCACCAGTTGCCAAGGATACACCAAGGCATAACAAAATGAAGACTCAATTAGTCTGGCTGCCCCAGTCATTAAATCCCTTGGGATTGATTGCCTTTTGAAATACAGGAATTAGCCTAACAGGCACTGCAGGACCTCAGCTTTTCTTTTGTAGACATTCAACCACTAACATTAACCAAGTGAAAACACATCCTGACATTTCACAGGGAAAAGGCTCCTCAGCTCTCATTTCCCTGTGGAGCAACAAGCCCAAGATCATCAATGTAACCACAACAATCCCAACAGCACAACCTCTTTAGCACATCAAAATATGTATACACACAGATCTGTCAGGCCTCAAATCCAGCTGCACTGCTGAAGGGTCAAAAAACACTAATACTTCTCCAGGACACAAATCCAGTATTGCTGGGACAAAAGCACTTCCCTTTGTGCTCTTCTCTTCCGCTTGTTTCAGGTGGAAACCCTCACAAGGCACAGAAAACAAGTCTCATTTGAATACTGCCAGTGATATGTTCATTTATCAGTGACAAACTGGCAGTAAGCTGAAACACAAACCCGTGGACTTGTAAAGTGGTATCTCCTATGCAACCAGGGAATTTATCAGGACACAAGGAGAGGCTCCAACTACCTGATGGGCTCCAAACTCACAGGTGCTTATGCAGTCTGACCAAGACTGAGAGTTCATGAACAAAGCTTCCTACAACTGGCTGAAAAATACAGCCAGGAGGGAGCCTGGTTGATATGCTCTTTCCCAAGATCTCACAGCTCCATGCAGAGAAGGCTCTGGCTCATCCCAGCAGACACTTACAGGCGCAGCTCCTCGAAGGACTTGACAGAGTAGAGGGGTGATGTGGGGTCCCTCTGCAGCACCTCCACCTGATTTGTGGTGTCCACCAGGTTACTGCGGATCAGCTTGTTCAGCAAGGACTGTGTAGCTCTGTCCTCTGGGAAAGGAGATGGAAAACATCAATCCATTAAGCACAGCCTGTTCGAGGTGTTGTTCCCACTGAAACATGGTGTTACTGAGCCAATTAAATGGGACAAAATCCATCCAAATACTGAAATTCTTCATTACAGAGTAATGGCATAGAAGAGCCCAAACTTCCTGGATGAGACATCAAGAGATCCCAGAGATTCCCATTTAATATTCTGACTGACACATCAGAGATTCCCATTTAATATTCTGAATGAGACATCAAGGGATCCCAGAGATTCCCATCTAATATCCAGGAAGACAAACTAAGTTTTAAGGGGGATTTTAACAGATCCAGAACTCTATTTATATTTTAGCTTAGATCCCAGAGATTCCCATTTAACACTCTGACTGACACATCAAGAGATCCCTATTTAATATTCTGGATGAGACATCAAGGGATCCCAGAGATTCCCATTTAACATCCAGGAAGACAAACCAAGTTTTAAGGGGGATTGTAACAAACCCAGAACTCTATTTATATTTTAGCTTAGATCCCAGAGATTCCCCTTTAATACTCTGAATGACACGTCAGAGATCCCAAAGATTCCCATTTAATATCCAGGAGGACAAACCAAATTTTAAGGGGATTTTAACAGAACTTTTCTTATTGAAGATATTTTAGCTTAGCATCAACCTAGGAGAGGAGTAAAGTCTCTTCAGGCCTCACTCTGACATGTGGGCAGACACCTTTTAGGGTCTTATTTTTCCTTTCAAGGGAAGTTTGAGGATAAAAGGTACTTTCAAAGATTGCAGGGTTGAAACACTGCAAGGGCTGAGGATAAGTGAGATGCAAACAAGGTTAAACTGCTGCACTTTGGGGTTTTGCTCCTAAATCTGTTGTCTAAAATCACCTTCTGAAAGTTTCAGCAACATTACCCACCTCTGCACAGCCACTGCATAAACACAACTTGTTGGTTGCTACAGTAATTCCAGCTCCAGGTTATCCAACTGCTTTGAGGATATTCCTATCCCCTTGAATTCTCTCCACTCTAAACCAGGAGTTTCCCAAGTTATTACAGGACACAATGGCTTTAAAAGTATTACGGGGGCAGGACATGTCTTACAATTAAGTCCTTGGGGCAGAAGACAAGCTCAGCTGTCCTGAGATATAAGGCAGACTAAAGTATATATTAATTATGATCATTATAATGATATTAATTTCCTTGCCAAAGCATTTTTGAGGAAGGCACTTACCCTTCTCCTCATCCTCTGTCTTCTCCACGTTGTCATCTGCCTTGACAACAGCACCTAGAGCAACACATTTTTGGGGACACACGTGAGGTCAGGTCTCAGAGACATCCCATGGAGCTTTAGCTTTGGAATATTGTGGGAAAAGCTACAGAACAGCTCATTTTCCTGAGGGGCATGGAGTGGAAACCTAAGCTCCAGCCCCAGTTGGAGTTTATCTGCCACACCAACAGATGCTCCTCACACAACTCCCTGAAGACAGCAAAGTGTTTAAGTCTTTGCTGCGGTTTAATTTCAGATTTGGGTTTCTCTCTCCTGGAATTTCACAACTGATCAGGAGCTTACATTTCCCATTCCATGGGATGGGAAAATGTTCCACCCTTTCCAAACCCATCTGGAAACTCACCATTGGCATCTGGTTTGGTTTTTTCATCCTTCAGGTGTAAAGTGCTCAGCTAGAAATGAGGGAAAACACAACATCAGAGAAATTCAAAGGCTCCCTACGTATTATTTCCAGCCAGGAAAACCTGAACCTTGGATTTACCATTGGATAACAACATTGCATGAGCCCCAGGCAAAACCCTGCTTGAAGGAAAGGGATGGAAATAGGAGAGAAACTTGGTTTCAGGGGTTTTAAGGCAAATACAACCATTTCTGAGTCAGAGTTTTAACACAAATCCACCTTTTTTTTCTAAGCTGTAACAATGACAAGGAGAGGGGATTGTTTTCCATCCTGGAATCTCCACTCCCAATAGCCCTGCTGATGCCAAATGGGAGAAAAAACAGCATTCCAGGATGGAAACAGGATCCAAGCACAGTCCCTGTGGGGGGGTTTGCTTCCCCACTGAGATATGCCAGGGAGAGTAGCCCTGAGGCTCTTCCCCATACCCAGGGGTTCAGTGAATGCTTTCCATGCTCGAAAGGCTCAGAAAAAAACCAGAAAATCTAATGATTAACAACAAAAATGAGCAAAAAAGGGATTTTTCTTGGATGCTGGAGGACAAACCAAAGGTCCAGAGTGACTGAATGGTGCTGTGTCAGAGTGGTGAGGGGGAGGGCAGGGAGGTCTCTACCCTTTGGATATGTTAAAAAAAACGGGAGAAGGGAAATAAATTTCAGAGAATCATAGAATCATTGGGGGTTGGAAGAGACCTCCAAGATCATCGAGTCCAACCCTACTGTGGTCACTAGACCATGGCACTAAGTGCCACATCCAGTCTCAGCTTGAAAACCTCCAGGGATGGTGAATCCACCACCTCCCTGGGCAGCACATTCCAATGCCTGAGCACTCTCTCCGTAAAAAATCTCTTCCTAATATCCAACCTAACCCTCCCCTAGCAGAGCTTGAGTCTGTGCCCTCTTGTCCTACATCGTTTAAACGATAATAACACATAAACGAAAGAAAAAAAAATAATAGGATTTGGGGTTTCTAAAGGCAGCCCCGGAGCAGAAGCACAGCCCCCGGG